TGATACTAATATTAAACCTTTGATTTTCATCTGTTCGCATAATCGTAAAATAGCCATAGCACCTGAACTATGTCCAACTAAAATATCATTCTATAAATAAATATTTTAATATACATAGTTTTATATATGTAACTTACTTCTTTGACATTTAAATTATTTATTAGATATGGTATCCATATAGAATCTTTTGCTTCTCTTTCATCAGGCATTGCTGGTGCAAGTGCATCTATGTCTAATTTTAATAATTCTGTTTGTAACCATTTATACCAATGTCGGTTAATAATTCCAGGTGATATCGCACTACCATGTATAATTATTACACGTTGTTTTACATTTTGATGCTAAATAATAAGTATATAAGCTAGTTAAAAGAGCTCAGTAAAAGTGAAACTCATATTTTTCTAAAAATTTGTTTTGAAGTCGGTGGATTTTATATTGATTAAATTTAGTTTATAAATAAAATAAATTATTTTACACTCTGGTAAACTCCTAAGAGAAATTTTTTGTGTATTGGACAAGCTTCTATCACTTTCTTGATCAATAAAAATACTAACTGATGTTTGCTGGGTCTCGTCCATATTGTATATAATCGTCGCGTTTATGTGACAAAAAAATAATCATAAGAAAGAGAAGCACATGTGCTTTATTATATAAGGTCTCGCCGTTCGTTTTACCAATACTTTTTTTTTTCTATACGTTGCGTATTTTTCGTTCTGTAGACTATTTGAAAAAGAAGATCAAACAGCGATAATGTATGAATATTTGAGAAACTTGTTTCAATCAGTAAAAGTACAATAATAACAAAGAAAAATTATTGATTTCAATTTTATTAGTTTTCTAGGCAACAGGTTTTCTGAATAGCTTCAAACTTAGATTGTTCCTCATCTTGAAAAAATTCATTAAACACATATAAGTATACAACGTGTATATTATTAATAAAACGCTAACTAATCTTATCGATTTTATGAAACAAATGTTTTTGAACACTTCTGATCATATTTTTATCCTTATTAATATTCATGTTACAATATATTTCTTTCATTTATATACTTTGTTAGAATCTATAAGTGTCTGAACACGGTCAACATATTTTATTTTGTAATCAAATTTATATAAGCAAAAATATATATTATAAAGTAATAAATATAAAGATGTTTTTTATTTTCATAGTAACGACATATTCAACGAAAATTTCAGCATTGATGTAATGATGTTGCATGTTTCGAAGGAACCGTTGTTATCTTGTCAGGAACACAGGTGTGGTTATCATCATTTGTTGAAGTTCTGTGCTGTTTAATCGCAATAACAATATAAGATAAACAAGTCCAAGAGTAATTTGTGTACGAACACGCAATTTGGATATATAAAGAAAAACGATGACAGCTCCAGCGTTCTGAGCACATGCAAACAATGAATAAGCTTCTGTTATCTTGTTTGGTAACATCGAACTGTAAAAAGCTACAAAAAAATAACAAAATATCAGTGTTTGAGAGAGAAGAGTCTTAGATTCATCTATGAATGTTTTATGTGCTTTATAGAGAATTATTCTATCATCAAAGAAATGTTAGAGATGTGTGAAACAACAATTTTCCCAATAGATTTCCAGAAAAGTTTTCGTCGATTTTGTAAATATATGACTTGTATGACTTATGGATGAATAAGTTGCATGTTGAAATCTTTAGTATATCTCTCAAATATTGAAGTTATCAAAAGAAATCTTATGTCAGACCTGTTATAAATGGTTCTGTGAGTCCATCTG